CTGTCTGTGACGGAGCCCCTCAGACATGGCTGCTCTAGTCACTTGCAGATTCCGACAGTGGTTGCTTCCGGAATCGTTTCCAGCATAAAAGCTCCTTAACGGAAACACGTCTTCTGGACTCACGGCGTGACAGTTTCCGGCGAGGCGTGGGTCTCCCTATGGGAGCTTCAGATACCTCCCCACTGTTCTCGCTGGAAGCGTCTCTGAGCCCTCCCTCCTGCTCGCATTCCCTCAGAGATCCACTCCTCCCCCGGCTGGTTCCTGCTTCAGCTGTTGAGTCTCTCCCAGCCTCCCTGAGCCCCTCCACCACCTGTTCCTCCGATGGCAGTTCCCTGACACAACCCTTCAAGGCTGAACAATTAAATTGGATGCCGCTATACTTTGGGCCCTGGGATTCATTTTTTTTATTTACGGTAGGCGGCCTTACAGGTATTATTTTAGCCAACTCCTCGTTAGATATTATTCTTCATGATACCTACTATGTAGTTGCCCATTTCCACTATGTCCTTATCAACAGGAGCTGTATTTGCAATTATAGGTGGATTTGTCCACTGATTTCTGCTCTTTACAGGTTATACTTTGTGTTAAGTTGTGGGTGAACATATCAGATGACACAGCGATTCTTCAAACAGCTCTTCTTTATTCAGAGGCCACAACAGAACTGAACTGAAGGGCTCAGTCAGCCTGCTTATATAGAGCTCCAGTACAACTTTACTGTAGCAACTTTCTAAAACTATCCAATCACTGAACGTCACTTTCGATCCTTCATTTGCATAACTATCTACAGTATCCCCCTGCTGGCCCAGGGTGAGAACTTCAGTACATAACACTTTGCATTCCTCATGAACAAAAATTCAGTTTGGCATAATATTTACCAAACAAAACATAACATTCTTTCCACAACATTTCCTCAGATTAGCGGGCATGCCCCAACGTTACTCCGACTATCCAGATGCATACACCCTCTGCAATACTCTTTCATCAGTTGGCTCCTTAATTTCACTGACAGCAGTAATTATAATAATATTTATTATCTGAGAAGCTCTGGGAGCTAAACATGAAGTACTTACCCTCGAATTAACAAACACAAACAAGGAATGACTTCTCGGCTGCCCGCCTCCATATCTTACCTACGAAGTATCAACCTATGTACAAACCTCAAGGGAGGGGGGACTTGAAACACCTCTAACCACTTTCAAGCCAGTCACACAGCCTCTTAAGTTTCTCTCCTTATGAGGTCCTAGTAAATAAATTACATAGCTCTGTCAGCGCTAAATTATAGGTCAATCAAGCCTATGTGGCACACCCAGCACAACTTGTTGTTGTTGTTTAGTCGTTTAGTCGTGTCTGACTCTTCGTGACCCCATGGACCAGAGCACGCCAGGCACCTCTGTCCTCCACTACTTCCCGCAGTTTGGTCAAACTCATGCTGGTAACCTCGAAAACACTATCCAACCATCTTGTCCTCTGTCGCCCCCTTCTCCTTGTGCCCTGCCCTCCATCCCAGCACAACTAGGCTTCGAAAATGCAGCCTCCCCCATTATATAAGAACTTCTTCACTTCCATGACCATGCATAATAATTGTTTTTTTAATCAGTGCCTTAGTACTATATATTATTAGTCTTATATTATCAACAAAACTCACACTAATACTATAGATGCCCAAGAAGTGGAAATAATCTGAATTATCCTCCCCGCAATAATTTTAATCCTAATTGCACTCCCCTCCCTCCAGATCCTTTATTTAATAGATGAAATTAACATCTCTCATTTAACTATTGAAGCCATTGGCCACCACTGATACTGAAGCTATGACTATACAGACTATGAAAATCTGCTGTTTGACTCCTACATAGTCCCAACATGCAACCTACATCCCAGAAATTTCCGCCTACTAGAAGTTGATCATCGAGTTGTAGTCCCAAGAGAATCCCCCATCTGAGTTTTAATCTCAGCAGAAGATATCCTGCACTCATGGGCAATTCTAGCACTCGGCATTAAAACAGATGCAGTCCCAGGTCAATTAAATCAAACAACCTTAATTACATCTCACCCGGGCCTATTTTATGGGTAATGTTCAGAAATTTGCAGATCAAACCACAGCTTTATACCTATTGTAGTAGAATCAACACCCCTCAAATACTTCGAAGCATGATCTAAAATAATAATCTCCTCATCACTAAGAAGCTAACTTACAGCACTAGCCTTTTAAGCTAGAGAGGGAAATCTGCTTCCCTTAGTAACATGCCTCAACTTAACCCAGACCCCTGATTCTTAATTTTCATGCTAGCCTCAGCAACCCTTATTGCTGTAATAATGACATCATGGCAAGTCCTTTGCCCATGCAGTTTGAAATCAAAACTGGAACAAGGCTTTGCAGGCACCAATGGTCAACTGTGCCAGCAAACCCAGTTTCCTGTGCCTGCGTGGTTTGAAATCAAACCACGTAAGCAAAGGCACAGGGCTTCGTAGGCACTGCCAATCAGCTGATTGGTGGTGTCAGCAAACCTGCTTTCAGTAGGGAACTGCATCTTTACCTGTCCCACAGGTGTACCCAGTTTGAGGAAGGTGGCCTTGCGGGTCAAATTAGGATGCCAGAACAGGCCAGAACTCCACAGAGCTGCTGTAGACCACATTTCACTTGGACATTCTCCCATTTTGCACCAACTGAAGCCTTTTGTAATCCCCACTCCATGCTATGTAAATATTTGGGTCTCACAGGCTTAGAGTGCTTCATTTATTATTAAATTGATAATCCCACCTGGCCTCCAAAGGAGCCCTGGAGAACACAGGACTGTATCACATCCAAATCTGAACCTACATGGGCCAAGGTACCATTCCGTTATGGGTTCTCCTAGGCAGAATATAAAAGAAGTTAGGGACAAACTTTATTGGAGAACCAGACCACCCATAAGGAGTTTGGATTACCCAGCAATAGACATTCTATTCCAGGCATCCCCAAACTCGGCCCTCCAGATGTTTTGGGACTACAATTCCCATCATCCCTGACCACTGCTCCCTGACCACTGCAGTTTCTACAGAACAGAACAGCCCCTGTGAATCCAGAATCCAGCCATATCCAAGTTAGAATTTGGGATGTGCAATAGCCAATTGGCTAGAACACTTACAAAGGTTAGGAATACCAACTTTCAGTCTACACAGTATAAAAATGAATGGGATCTGCTGGGAGGGAGAAGCGAGATGTGCAGATAAGCCACCCACCGGATCAAGGCAACTTTAACTTTAGCAAGGGCTCTAGTAAAATATAAAATCTAATTAATATACTCACTCCAAGACAGACTTTCTAGCAACAAAAACTTTTCCATGTTCTGGAGGTGCTCTTAATTCCCTGTGAAAAGAACAAATATTCAGCAACAAATCAACATATCAACTCCGCTTCAGGCTCAGCCAAGAACCAACATACTTGCTTTTGAAGCCACCGTCTTTCTCTGAGCACACGGCTGAGAAGGCAGGGGGCGAAGTCTCAAGCTGCACAGACTTTGCAATCAAGCCATTTGCGAATTCTGTAAAGTGGCTGTCGATCCGCTGCCCCTGACTTAGGCGGCTTGGAGTTTTACGGAAATATTGGTGGTGAGGGAAATAAAATTTAAATACATTCTGGATTAACATGGCAAAATCTGGTTTTGTAGCAAGAATTTGTTTGTGTTTTCCACATTTTATTAACAAGACCAAATAAAAATACCCTAAAAAGAGAAAGAAAGAAAGAAAGAAAGAAAGAAAGAAAGAAAGAAAGAAAGCCCAAACAGTTTTGGATCAGGAAAGCCCAAACAATTGCCAGTACAGTCATACCTTGGGGCTCAAACAGAATGCGTTCTGGGAGTTCGTTCGACTCCCGGAACCAGTTGAAAACCAAGGCACAGGTTCTGATTGACTGCAGGAGCGTCCTGCACCCAATCGGAAGCCGTGTCAGACGTTCAGCTCCCAAAAAAGCCTGAAAACCGGAATACTCACTTCCGGGTTTCGATTGTTTGGGAGCCAATTTGTTCAGGAGCCAAGACATTTGAGATCCAATGTACGACTATATTGGAAATTTTGTTCCCAAATCAACACAATATCTTGGTAGGCATCTTCTGGAACAAAACAACAACCTGATAGGACCTTCAACTGAGCCAAGTAAAACAACCAATAACGTTCTTATCTACCAGAGTTGGAACAAGGCACATCTTAATGCTCATCTAGACCTTGAGCATTTGTGCTGCAGGACAGTGTCCCTGAAATGTGATGGATTTCAAGAATGGAGGGGAAACTGGCATTCTGCTCCCAAGGAAAACAGACAAAACTGAATTGCTTTTCAGCAACAATTCTAGCAGACTGCTTTGCTTAGAGCTGGAGTTCCAAGTATGGATAGCTCTAACTAGTATCTGCTCTTCCTCCCAGACTCCTCAAGCAGTAGTACCAAAGTTTAATGTTACATATTTGCATTTGCATATAAAGCTCTTGCTACACCTTGGAAGAGGAACTCAGGGGCAGATGGCCTCCAGAAGGTCCTGGGTCCAGCCTCCAGTTTAAAAGGATCAGGTAAATTGCCATGGGAAAGGCCACTGCAATAAGCATTGGAAAGGCACTGCCAGTCAGAGTAGATAATTATGGGCTAGATGGACAGACCAGCCTGGTTCTGTTAGGGCACCTGTTTGGTCATTGTGAAGCCCTTACTACTAGATAGGCGCAAACTTTACTGGAGAACCAGACCACCCATGAGGAGGCTGGATTGCTTAGCAATAGACACTTCTGGTCTGTAGATCAGTTTCTACAGAACAGAAGAGCCACATCCATGTTAGAATCTGGGATGTGCAATAGCCAATTGACTGGAGCACTTAAAAAGATTAGGAATACCTGCTTTCAGTCTACACAGTATAAAAATGAATGGGATCCCCTGGGAGGAAGAAGCAAGATATGAAGATAAGCCACCCACTGGATGAAGGCAATTTTAACTTTAGCAAGGGCACCAGTGAAATTTACAATCTCATTAACATATTCACTCCAAGACAGACTTTCTAACAACAAAAACTTTTCCATGTTCTGGAGGTGCTCTTGATCCTCTGTGAAAAGAACAAATATTCAGCAGAGTAGTTGTAGTTTTTTTAAAAAAGAAAGAGAAATCAACAAATTGACTCTGCTTCAGACTCAGCCAAGAACCAACATACTTGCTTTTGAAGCCACCGTCTTTCTCTGAGCACAGGGCTTGAGAAGGCAGGGGGCGAAGACTCAAGCTGCACGGACTTTGCAATCAAGCCATTCACGAATTCTGTAAAGTGGCTGTCGATTCGCTGCATGAAAGCTGGCTTCATTTGCTGATAAAATTTGGAGGAAGGAAGGAATAGAAAAGAGAACACCTTAAGTATACAGTGGTACCTCGGGTTACCTACGCTTCAGGTTACATATGCTTCAGGTTACACACTCCGCTCACCCAGAAATAGTGCTTCAGGTTAAGAACTTTGCTTCAGGATAAGAACAGAAATCGGGCTCTGGCGCGCGGCAGCAGCAGGAGGCCCCATTAGCTAAAGTGGTGCTTCAGGTTAAGAACAGTTTCAGGTTAAGAACACACCTCCGGAACTAATTAAGTACTTAACCTGAGGTACCACTGTAATTGATAAGTATTGCCTGGAATTTGCCTGCTAAAATGGCATGTTACTCTTTACCTTCAAATGCAAGGCTGACTTCCTAACACCATGCTAACAGCACATCATGAACGTGTCTCATTTCCTGACAACTGACGACATATTCTTGGACCCCAGTCAAAGTCACGGCCAGTGGGGACAATGGTCAGCGCTAATAGGACTTCCTAGTCCAGCAACATCTGGTTCCCCATTCCTGGTTTAAACCACCTATCAGCAGCTCCCCAAGAATGTGGAAGCAAAGTAGCCAACTGCAGGGCCTTTCTAAGAAAACCATAGTTAGCCTAGCTGCCTCCCATCTTGCTTACAAATAAACTCACTCAACATATCTGACAGAAATCTGACCAGAAAACTGACTTGTTCTGCAGGAGCTTTTTGTTTTGTTTTTGTTTTGTTTTTGTTATACTAGTCAAATACCAAACGTATGCAAAACATACTCTTTTAGTCTCCAGTTTATAAGAGCTCACAGGATGTACTGAATAGCTCAGTTGGTAGAGCATGAGACTCTTAATCTCAGGGACGTGGGTTTGAGCCCCACATTGGGTAAAAGATTCCTGCTTTGCAGGGCGTTGGGCTGAATGACCCTCATGGTCTCTTCCAACTCTATGATCCTTTGTTTCCTGCTTGGCAGGGGGTTGGACTCGATGGCCCTTGTGGTCTATTCCAACTCTATGATTCTATGAAAGTGAGCATTGTTTATAATTTTTGAATTTGAGGAAATCTTTCAGCAGTCCCAGTTTCAGTGACTCCCAATTTACAGGATTTAGGATTTCTAACAGGCCCATTCTATGCATAGATCTGTCACAAATGGGAGGTTTCTTTTGCTGTCTAGGGATTCCTCCTTGTCAACTCATATTAACTACAATTCAGATAAGTTTACCTCAGCCTCCACCAAAAGCTGCATCTTTCGAGTGACCAAATGGTCAACGTCAACATGACCTAAGAGGGAAAAAAACAAATCATTGCTGTATTTTCAATGATAAATACAATAATAAATAAATAAATAAATAAATAAATAAATAAATGTTGTCCGCAAGTATGAAAGGCAAAACAGAAAAAGTATGCAAACTGGAAATTTAAAGTATTTTAATATCAGTGCTGCAAATAAGTCCACAAATGTTACTAGCCCTCAACATTTCACTTATTCCCCTGCCCAGATGTACCTGTATTAGTTGTCCGCTACTGACCAAAAGGAAAAACAACCTATTCCAATTTCCAAGGCTTCGCTTCCTAGAGTGCATTAAAACCATAGTTAATTGGGGCAGATCATTTAAACTTATCTACCCAAATACTTCCTGCCAACCTAGCAGTTCGAAAGCAGTCAAAGTGCAAGTAGATAAATAGGTACCGCTCCGGTGGGAAGGTACACGCCGTTTCTGTGCGCTGCTGTGGTTCGCCAGAAGCGGTTTAGTCATGCTGGCCACATGACCCGTAAGCTGTACGCCGGCTCCCTCGGCCAATAAAGCGAGATGAGCGCCGCAACCCCAGAGTCGGCCACGATTGTACCTAATGGGCCAAATGGGCCCTTTACCCAAATACTAAAAAAAGGAGGTGCTAGGGAGAAGGATTCTAGCTTGGCCACCTGCCGGACATCTGTATGATTCAACCATCCATGCACCGCTTGCCCCCTGCACCCTCAAGTGGTACAGCCCAGGCACCAGTTCAATAAGTTTTTCTGAAAACAAAAACAAATTTGTTTCTGCAGAATTGCAATTAGATGGTTCTTCTTGAAATTCCTCTCATTAAACAAGCATTCAGCAATTGTATTTGGGCATATCTTGAACAAAATTCCAGCCAAACTAGGGAAGGGAACATTCATATTAATCAATGAAAAATAAAAATCCTTTTTATTGATGAAATCCCCTTTAGCTTGGTTTTGCTGAGCTCTAAGTAAGTGTGTAGGAATGTGCCAGGAATGCCTGAGGTTCTGCTTAAACCACCAGCTTGATAAGTGAAGAACTTGCTATGTGAACTATTGAGCTTGCTATATCACTGGAAACTAGGATGATAACTTGGGCAATGCTTGCTTAAGCAATGTATGACAAAATAAGGAGTATCAAAGTGCAGCTGCCTACAAGTTGATCACGCAAGAGCATGTTGATCACAATGTGCATTCCTCAGGAGTTGACATGATAGGTGGAATGCTATAATTGGAGGTGTTGAATCTTTCTGTGTTCTGTGAAGCTACAACTGTTTCCTTTCACATGTTTGGGTGTGGTCTGAGTTTCTTGCACCCCACAATAAATTGTTTCCTCCTCCAAGTGTGGGACCCCAATCATCAAACAGTAAATATCAAGTAAACAATAAAAATACACTAGATCACTAAACTCTGGCTGGATGTAGACACATCAAAGAAGCGTTTTAGTTTAAAGCATTGTAAATTTAAAACAGGTAAAGAAAAACAGGACTCCACGTCGTCATGTGGTGGCAAAATGTTACATTGCACATACAACACATATACAGTAAGTTGCTTTTTCTCTATCAGTCTAACTGAGTCCTCTGATAGCATGCCCTTTTGAAAAATCAAAAACACAATCCCTGGAGCATACTGTAGTTACCGGTTGTTAAATCCCTGGTTATGGCATCACAAGATTCATTAAATACAGATTACTTAAGATGAAAAGATGGGCTTGGTTACTGCTCATTACACCTAACGTTCACCACCTGTCATTGCTATCATATCAGGTGATGCTTTGCTTTCAAAAAGTGATTTCAGAACCACAAACCACAGTGATGAGCTTTGCAAACCAAAGGTTCATACAGATTCATACTGGGCTTTTTGAAAACTGTCTCATTTCGTTTGAAAACTTCCAGATTTTGGAGGTTCAAAGGGTAGCACTGAGTTCTTTGAATGCCCTTCCTTTCCAATGCCAACCATCTCCTAAATCAGCATTTGAATTATACTTTTCTTTATACAGAGTGATAGGTAAAATAGCACCAAGTTTAGCCCTTGTTTTTTGTGCAGTTTTATATAAGAGAATAAATCTCAATTTTAGTTTTCTTTGCTGTTCTTTCCTCATCTTCCTCTACCTCAGGGTATTGAAGGTTGTCTTTCACAACAGTCAGAAATCCAGTGGTCTCAGCAATTAGCACCAAGTCCTCCACAAAATGTACTGTATCATTGGCACTGTGACAAACATCTTTGAACATCATTTATTGCTACATCACATACATTGCCAAAGGTAGGTCTTAATTATTGCAACAATTATTACCAGAATTAATTGTTGCAACGAGCTCTGCAGACATGTGCAGACAGGATGGGTAGCCACTGTTAACACACTTGTAACAGGGAAGATGTGCCACAAATGTACGCACATGATGCCTCTCTCTTCAGTAGGTTCTGATGGGCATAGTTCCAAGAGGCTGCTTGTTTATGTTGCACTGTGCATACAAGACACTCCAAGCACCATACACCTATGAAAGCTCATTTCAACATATTCCTCTTTATCTTCAAGCTCAAGAGGGCTGCAGCAGGGACACTCACCTGGAACAATGATGCAAGTGCAATTTCTTCTTGCTGTAGGCATGGAATACAGTGGTACCTCAGGTTACAAACACTTCGGGTTAAAGACTCTGCTAACCCGAAAGTACCGTAGTACCTCGGGTTAAGAACTTTGCCCCAGGATGAGAACAGAAATCGCACGGCAGCGGTGCAGCAGCAGCAGCAGGAGGCCCCATTAGTTAAAGTGGTACCTCAGGTTAAGAACGGTTTCAAGTTAAGAACGGACCTCTGGAACAAATTAAGTTCGTAACCAGAGGTACCACTGTACCTAGATGCATCTTATATCTTTTTGTATCATCACCTACTTTTGAGAGGCGTCTTCCATGAATACGGTCTTAAGAGTTAAAAGTAGGATTCCGTTCTGGTTGCTGTTGCCAATTCCTTCTTTCCCAATATTTCCAGGCCACAGGTCAAAATCTCACCCAACTCTTGCATTAAAATCACCCAGGAGGAGGATGTTATCTTTCTTAGGCATCTCTGTTAAGATGGTATCCAGCTCCCTGACCACTAGCCATCCTGGGAGTTGGGAGTCCAACAATATGAGGACAAGTGGTTCTGCATCCCTGCCAGCTATGCCTCTCACCCTCGGAGCCCTCTGCAGTGGTTTTAATCCATACAAACAAGATGGGAGCAACTACACGTCATCCTTCTGTGACAGAAGGATCTAAAAAGTCACGTACCTTGGCAAGAACCTTTGGGCAGGCACTGCCAGCATGGGCTTCCCCTCTCCAACAGCTAATTACCCAGTTGGAAGGTATCATGCAGAGACATCAGCGCGCACACACACACACACACCCCACTCTGCAAGCCCTTTAGCCCTTGTAGAATGAAAGCTTTAAAGCAAAGCACACAGACACCATTCAAAGAAATTGTTTTGTGAGATTTGAGCCTGCTCCTACATTTTAGTGATTTTAGCCAATGAGTGAAGTCAGAGCTGTAACTGGCAAGTGCTGGAAAGAAATTTATCACACAAGCAATATCCATGTTGCAGAGGGAGTATTGTGCCTGAGGAAGCATGGGCTACCACCGCCCTGCAATGTAGCCTATTGTTGCTATACAGTGCTAAAATTACAGGGGAATCATAGAATTGCAGAGTTGGAAGGGACCACGAGGGTCATCTAGTCCAGCCTCCTACAATGCAGGCAGGAATCTTTTGCTCAGCTCAAACCCACAACCCTGAGATTAAGAGTCTCGTGCGTTACCAACTGAGGAGAAGGCAGAGAAGGAGGCAGAAGTGCATGACAACCCTCCAGACTCTTGTGGGGAGGAATTTTAGGAAAATCAGGCAGGGGACTATTAAACAGATTACAACAGCAACATGGGGGTGGGGGCAGGTGATTAATTGCTTTCCCACCCATGGAGGGAAGCTTGAGGGTGGTTGCTGCTGGTGTGAACACTTAAACGGGTATATTCACATCAAAGGCACAAAGGCTTTTTTTAACTCAAGAAAAGAAAAGAAAAGAGTGGCCATGTGACCTGAGTTAATAACATTACTAAAGTTTTTTAAACTTCATAACCAACAAGAAATACTGATGGAATGCACTGGTTGCTTTTTATCAATTTAATCCTGAGTTTATCCAAGCGTACAGAGGAGGGAAACCAAGATGATTTAGGGTCTGGAAACCAAGCTTTATGAGGAACGGTTGAGGGAGCTGAGTATGTTTAGCCTGGAGAAGAGGAGACTGAGAGGAGATATGAAAAACCTTTTAAAATGTGGGCAGTTCCAGAATTTACATCATGTAAATGCCAGGGAAAACAATTTTAAGTTGGCACCAAAAGGAAAGGACTATATGTGTCCCACTGTTACTACTGCTCCTGGCTGTGGAACCTGAAGAAGCACCTCTCCTAATGATCTTTACAACTGGAGAGAGGATAATTGGAGATAAGAAGATTCATTATGAATGACAAACTGAATATGTCCCAAAATGGGATTCCATAAACAATTATTTTGGAATTTGCATTGATGGGTATTCCCCACCCCGCTTTACACTGCCTTTCAAGACCTAACGTGGAGTCTTTCAAGTCTATTTTGTTTAGGACATCAAGTCAAGGAATTTGTAAACGAAGTAGTAATGATACAAAGGAGTACTTAAGAGAAAAGTCTATGAGGAATGATATCAATTTTCTGAGCAAGGTGTCAAGCGGCTGCCAGCGACTTCCGGCTGTTGCCCAGGAATGTATAAAGACAAGGGAATGTTTCTTACTGTCCGCTTTTTATTCAGTATTTACAGAGAGAGGCTATAGAACCCAGCCTCTTGGATAATGGCACTGTCCCGAGTGAATCTCCACCCCACCCCCCGTCTCTCCCACTTCCTCATTCGCCATTCGCATCGTCTCTCCTACAGGTGCTGCTATGTGCCCTCTGTCTTTGAGCTCTTTGCTCTCCTACTTTTAAGGCTCACCGGGTTCTGGGAGATGGAAGGTCTGGGATGCTTTCTAATAACAACCTGTCAGCCGAGTGTTGTTCCGACTCTCCCATGTTTCCCCCCTCATCTGCCTCTGAGATGTGACCTCCTTCAAACCCCTGTTGTAAATCTATACTGTCTTCCTCTTCCTCCTCCCCAGAAGGGTCAAGCTAGGGAGGCAGTCTCCAACATCCTCCTCTGACCAGTCTCTGACACAAAGTTGGTGGAACATGATGCTGGGGAGATGATAAAAGATGTAAGAAATAATATCTGTGATTGAAGATGGGAATGAACTGTATGAGATGTATGTAGGGCACTGGTTAAATTGTGGAGTAGGCACATGTTTCTTCCTCCTGTGGTTTCAGCATCCCATCACTGGCAACATTTCCTTCTGATGCTACAGCCTTTGCCAACCTGGTGCCATGACAGGTTTTGGACCACAACCCCCCCATCCAAGCACCTGGAAGGCACAAGGTTAGTGGAGGCTGCCATAGTGCAACAGTGCACATCTGTACACATAGCCCACCAGAAGTAGGACACTGCGCAGGCTTCACATGCAGCACAGAAATTTGTAGGAGCAATAGCAGTCCAGAGAATGAAGTATGGAGATGCAGAGGAGTCAGCTGGGGAAGCCTGGGATGAGAATCAACATCCTATACCCCTTTGAAATGTGTTTTATTTTCAAATTGACCGAGCACAATTAGGGCCATCGCTCAGCGTCCCAAAGGTCCTGCTCCCTGGAGACAGGGTCTGAGCTTTCAAACAGGACTGAGCTTACAATGTTGAGTGCTGTGAGGCTAGAAAACAGGAGCAGCTTGAAAACACAATTTGCCAGCTACGCAGATTCATCATAACTCAATTTGCCATTTGAGTTCTCAGCTATGGTTAGAATCCAGTGGTCATTGATATGACAACCCTAAGTGCACGAGTCAGCAGAGGCCATCCCAGGCACCCACAATATTACACACCCACAACCCACACACCGAAACTTGGCTTGAAAGCAGCATGTTTTCCTATCACAAATGATAGAATAGTTTTCAAGATGTGCTTTGTTGTACAAGGCAAAGATAGTTTACAAGATGTGCTTTGTCGTAGGGTGTGTGTAGCAACACAACAATCAACCCACTTTACAGATGTGCCAACAGGTCCAGAAAGATTGGAAAGCCAAAATACATGTATTGGGTTGTAACAAAGTTTTACTCATAGTAGACCCATTGGACATGGTGAACACTGGAAATAATCCATTATTTAAGATCTGAGGAAGAATTCGTATTTACTGTACTTCAGAACTTTTGTTCATTTGCAGATTCAAAATAAATCCACTGATAAATTCTTATATTTATTCACATAAGATTTCTGCAGTTACTAATAAAGAAATCTCATAATTGCATCTACACCAGGGATTGGCAACCTAAGGCCCGCGGGCAGGGAAAGGCTGGTTGGGCGAGTGGACCTCATTCTGCGCACACAAAGACTTGGTGGAATCCCACCCGACCACAATAACGTGGTCTGAAGAGCTACTGCCTGTCTGAGTAAGCAGTACTGGGTGAGATGAACTGCTGGTCCAACTCAGTAGAAGGCAGTTTCACACCCAGCTTGAATTTGAGTAAACAAGCTTAGCAATGAATGCAAATCTTGAGGCAAATATCTGGTAGCTGTTGAAACAAAAACTACAACACGGATAATTTAAGTATAGATGCGTTTCCTAGTCAGGTGATAAAAGTTCTCTAGAAGAATCCGCTCCGCTGGCTTCACAAATTTGGCACACAGCTAAAAGAAAACTAGTCAGGGAACATACACAGTGCTAAGGTCAAGTTATTAGCACAAGGCAAACACGCTCAGAACTGGCTGAGTACCACGTTGAACTACACCACCAAAGATACATGCACTGGGTTGTAGTCAACAAAGTTTGATTCAGAATAAACCCACTGAACATGGTGAACACTGGAAACAATTAGATTCATATTTACTTCAGATCTTTTGTTCACATGCAGATTTAAAATCATTTCACTGCTCATCATTTCATCTGCTAATCAGGTAAGATCTCTGCAGTTACTGATGAAGAAAACTCACCATTGCTTGATTGTGGGAAAGACCAGTCTGCTTCATGCCTCTTTGATAAGTCTTCTTTCTCTTCTGCCGTCTCATAAGTTGATCGGCGATTCCTTACGGAGATATTTTCTTCACCCGCCATGGTGTCAGGCTAACACACTGTAGAGGAGAAAACTTACTCATATGAAGTAGCTCAGCTTTTTATGACCATGCACTTATCGTTCTTTATTATATGATGTATAATTATAATCATTCTAAGAACCTCAGTGCTTTCTCAATCTTTCTTTTACAAAACAAGTCCCTAGGCGTCCTGGCTGCCAGAAAACATTTCTAAATACACCAGACTGATGAAAGTTGTGAAAGTAGAGGATAGGGTTTGTTCAAAACCACAAACTGTTCCCTTCACTCTCTGAACCTGCCTCTCTCAATCTTGGTTGGGTCCCCAGATGTTGCTAGACTACAACTCCCATCATCTTTGACCACAGGTCTTCCTAGCTAGGAATGATGGGACTTCTATACATCTCAGGATGTATGGTTAAAAAGCTGCCTTAAACTTGTATCTTTCAAAAGATTTGTTTTGGTTGATTATTAATGGAAGTTAAAGTTGCAGAAAATGTTATCTGACCCGATCTTTGTTCCTTTAAAATCTTCCATAAGGATAAGATTTCGCCACTTGCAGCCCTTGTGTTTAAGGTGACATCTCAGTTTAGAGGGATAAATCACACATACACAGCACTTTTTGGCCGCCAGTTCTGATGATCCTTGCTTAATAAGCAAAGACATTAACAAGCCTTTTGCCCAACAACACAGCCCTTTCCCCAAGCTGTAAATAAACCAGAAATCGTACAAATAACCATAGTTTTCCATTTCATCCAAGTTAGAAAACTAAGGCTCCCACTTCCCAGCTTGGAACCCGGTGGGCTCAGCCTTTACGCACGGAAAGGAGAGGAGGAAGAGGGGACCAGCAGGCTTCCTTCGCTCCTTCTCCCCCTCTCCGCACGCTATCGCTCCCTCTCGACGGCGACCGGGAGATTCAGGAGGGGTACCTGCGCCCCCTCTCCAGCCCTTGACCGCCCCTCGCCCTTCGCCCCAGTCCGAGTCCCATCACCACCGTCCCCGGAGCGCCCACCTGAGTCTCCGTGTCTCTCTCCTCCTTGCGTCTTTTGCAGCTCCGCAAGCGGAGGGGAGCGCTATATGGCTTGGCTCCACCTCTGCCTTCGTCAGGGCATGTAGGCGAAAGAGGAGGAGAAGCCGGAGGAGGAGATGGGAACAAGATCCGTCGCTGCCCCTTTTGGAAACAGAATGGTGGACTAAATCACGCAGGGGGATCCTTTAGTCCTCCAGATGTTGCCAAAGGACAACTCCCAGCATCCTTGGACATTGGCTATGCTTGCTAGAGCTGATGGGAGGTTGGGAGCTTTGATGGGAGGTTGGGAGCTTTGATGGGAGGTTGGGAGCTTTGAGGATGGGAGGTTGTTCAGCAACATCTGGAGGGACTATGGTTCAGCACACCTGGGCTAGTTAGCTAATCCAGCAGTGCTTATGTTTCAGTCGAACAGTGCCACCTAAAGGCACCTTGCAGAAAACGATACAGTTGGGAGATAACGGTAATGATTCAAGGCAAGCTGACGCGGGAAACTGTCCCACGGCGTTTAATACAGCTTGTGCCAAGGGAAGTGTTCACAGTATGGCAGCCAACCTCATGAGATTTTTGGTGGAACTAGAATATGGCAACCCCATTTTGGAACCAGGATATGGCAAGCGCCTTGTCACACGGGGCAGCCAAAGAGGGCAGTTTTAATGGTAGAAAACAGCAGACCCATTGCTAGTCTGTAACATGGGCACAAGGGCACTAACTTGTGCAAGCTGTTTTTATTTCTATTTTCGATTAAGATATATGCTTATTGTAAACCACCCTGGAATCTACTGGACGAAGTGTTTTAAATAGTAAATACAGGCTCCACACACACCATATGTGGGAAATGACTTAACTGGTTATCTTGTATGTCTCCTGAATCTGATAATTAAAGTTTGCCGGTAACACAAAAGCCCTGTGCTTTAGGTCTTAAGAAGTCAGGAATGTCAGAGAGTCTTTGGTAGACCCACAGGTTGACAACCCCACCCCCTTGTTTTGGTTCCTATTCCTTTAACTGTAACATGGCATGTAGGAATTAAGCATAAGAAGCTTTCCACATTGCTCTGCAATTGCATGATAGGTTGGTAGCAAGAGGAATCATTGCAGTAAAAAAGGGGGGGGGAAGAAAAGAACAAGTAGATGGCAACCCTACATATCTCAAGAAGGGGGCAGTGGAGCTCTTTCACAAAGCTTGCCTCCACCCCAGGCCAAATGATCTCATACCACCACTACAAATTTGTCTTCCCAAAGCATTTGGCAGAAACAAAGAGGGGGTTTAGTGGGGGGGGAACCCTCATATATTGGCTTGCCACCTGTTGCCATAGATGAAAACATCTGAACTAGGGCATTCTTGCCCCAATCTCCTTGCACTGCTGTTGCATTAGAGTAACAAAGCCTGCAGAAGAGCAAAGAATGAAGCACCTAGGTAGCCAACAGCCTAGGACACCCCTGTTAAAACATCTGCACTGGTTGCTCATTGGCCACATGTATCATTATCTCCCAAGTATACATATCGTTTTCTGCAAGGTGCCATTAGGTAGCGGTATTTGACTGAAACATAAGTGCGGGTGGATTAGGTAAAGGTAAAGGTACCCCTGAGGTCCAGTTGCGGAGGACTCTGGGGTTGCGGCACTCATCTCGCTCTATAGTAATAATAATAATAATAATAATAATAATAATAATAATAATAATAATTTATTATTTGTGTCCCACCCATCTGGCTGGGTTTCCCCAGCCACTCTGGGCGGCTTCCACAAAGACCAAAAATACACTAAGATGTCACACATTAAAAACTTCCCTGAACATTCCCTGTCTTCTGAATGTCAGGTAGTTGTTTATCTGATGGGAGGGCGTTCCACAGGGCGGGCGCCACTACCGAGAAGGCCCTCTGCCTGTTCCCTGAAGCTTTGCTTTTTGCAATGAGGGAACCGCCAGAAGGCCCTCGGCGCTGGACCTCAGTGTCTGGGCAGAACAATGGGGGTGAAGATGCTCCTTCAGGTATACTGAACCAAGGCCATTTAGGGCTTTAAAGGTCAGCACCAACACTTTGAATTGTGCTCGGAAACGTACTGGGAGCCAATGTAGGTCTTTCAAGACCAGTGTTATGTGGTCTCGGTGGCCGCCACCAGTCACCAGTCTAGCTGCCACATTCTGGATTAGTTGTAGTTTCCGGGTCACCTTCAAAGGTAGCCCCACGTAGAGCGCATTGCAGTAGTCCAAGCGGGAGATAACTAGAGCATGCACCACTCTGGCAAGACAGTCAGCGGGCAAGTAGGGTCTCAGCCTGCATACCAGGTGGAGCTGGTAGAAAGCTGCCCTGGATACAGAATTGACCTGCGCCTCCATGGACAGCTGTGAGTCCAAAATAACTCCCAGGCTGCGCACCTAGTCCTTCAGGGGCACAGTTACCCCATTCAGGACCAGGGAATCCTCCACACCAGCCCGTCTCCTGTCCCCCCAAAACAGTACTTCTGTCTTGTCAGGATTCAACCTCAATCCATTAGCCACCATCCATCCTCCAACCGCCTCCAAGCACTCACACAGGACCTTCACTGCCTTCACTGGTTCTGATTTGAAAGAGAGGTAGAGCTGGGTATCATCTGCATATTGATGGACACCCAGTCCAAACCCCCTGATGATCTCTCCCAGCGGCTTCATATAGATGTTAAAAAGCATGGGGGAGAGGACAGAATCCTGAGGCACCCCACAAGTGAGGGCCAAAGGGTCTGAACACTCATCCCCCCCCACCACTTTCTGAACACGGCCCAGGAGGAAGGAGCAGAACCACTGTATAACAGTGCCCCCAGCTCCTATAGGCCGAGGGAGCCGGCGTTTGTCCGCAGACAGCTTCCGGGTCATGTGGCCAGCATGACTAAGCAGCTTCTGGCGAACCAGAGCAACGCACGGAAACACCGTTTACCTTCCCGCCAGAGCGGTACCTATTTATCTACTCTCACTGGTGGATTAGCTCAACACAAAGATGGCCAGTCAGGTTCCTCCATAAGTTCACAAGCAGCAGGGTATCAGCAGAATAAAGGTCCCAGGCATCCGGCACTCAGGGGTACATTGCCTCTGAACATGCAGGTTCCATTCCTCTCGGTTGAAAGTTGTTCACAGACCTACCTTCCATAAATCTGCCCCAAAGTCTTTCTGAAAGATACCAAAACCACTGCCCAGCTCAGTCAGTAGAGCACGAGACTCTTAATCTCAGGGTCGAGGGTTCGAGACCCACATTCGGCAGAGATTCCTGCACTGCAGGGGGTTGGACTAGATGACCCAACTCTACTGTTCTACGATTCTGCTATGCCCAGTGCTGATCCTAAAACTCAGCAGAGGAAGATGAATACGTCAGACATCATCACCACATCTCGTTGCATAAGCTCATCTACACCTTGCCAGACAGACTAGCTTGTCAAAGACAAGAATCTAGTTAGCCTTCTGTTTGAACACATGCCTGTTGCATCCCAAAGCAATTCTGCTGTTTACCTGGACGGCCGGGTGACAGTGAGGTTGGAGGATGCACAGGAGTGCGGAATTGCTGGTGGCAGTTCCACTGGTGCAGCTGCACGGCCTCGACCTATTCAGATAAGCAGCAGCAGAGCCACTGACATCGGGAAGGTGGCTTAGCCTCTCCACACACATTGCTGCGGACTAGATGAAACCCAGCCCTGCCAACAAAATTGCTCGAAATACATTGCTGGATGGAGAACTTCCAGGTGGGTTCATCCAACTTTGTTCAAAGTGCTTTCAAGCTGGAATGGTTTCGCTGAACTCGTGTCTCCAGGATCCTGTTGTCCCCCAGGCAATATTTCAGCTCTGTTTCTCTCATTATCTTTTTAATGTTTCTTTTTAAAAAAATTCTCTTAGTGCCCTGATAGAAAGGCAGCTTTATCAATCTTATTTCTATTATTTCTTGCCCACATAGCCCACCTTCCCACCAAATGTTGCTCAGGGCGGTTCACACCACCAGAAACACTGTTTTTGAAACATAATAAAAACACAAAGTAATCTATAAGGATTACTTATAGTAATCCTTAAGGATTACTTATAGTAATCCTTAAGGATTACTTATAGTAATCCTTAAGGATTATAGATGGGATGTGGGTGGCGCTGTGGGTTAAACCACAGAGCCTAGGACTTGCCAATCAGAAGGTCGGTGGTTCGAATCCCCGTGACGGAGTGAGCTCCCGTTGCTCGGTCCCTGCTCCTGCCCACCTTTTTTTTTAAAAAAATAATTTTTATTGAATGGTTTTGTTACAAAAAACAATACAGCCATACTACCACTAAATATAATTAAGAAATAAAAATTACATACATCGATATGCTCCTGCCCACCTAGCAGTTCGAAAGCACGTCAAAGTGCAAGTAGATAAATAGGTACCACTCCGGCGGGAAGGTAAACGGCGTTTCCGTGCGCTGCTCTGGTTCGCCAGAAGCGGCTTAGTCATGCTGGCCACATGACCTGGAATCTGTATGCCAGGTCCCTCGGCCAATAAAGCGAGATGAGCGCCGCAACCCCAGAGTCGGTCACGATGGGACCTAATGGTCAGGGCTCCCTTTACCTTTAATCTATAAGGAACAGGGTCTTTCCCACACGAGCCTGCTCAAACCTTACGGTCATCTTCAGAGGCCTTCCTGAAAGGCCCCCTCCCTCGCAGCAGGTAGTGACTACTGGAGCAGGGCGTTCTCGGTCGTGGCCCCCGGACTTCTGACCATCCTCCCCACCACCACCACCCGGCCAGGAGGTTTGCCTGGTGTGACAGACAGCAGAGCCAGAGAATCATAGAATCATAGAGTTGGAAGAGACCACAAGGGCCATCGAGTCCAACCCCCTGCCAAGCAGGAAACACCATCAGAGCACTCCTGACATATGGTTGTCAAGCCTCTGCTTAAAGACCTCCAAAGAAGGAGACTCCACCACACTCCTTGGCAGCAAATTCCACTGTCGAACAGCTCTTACTGTCAGGAAGTTCTTCCTAATGTTTAGGTGGAATCTTCTTTCTTGTAGTTTGGATCCATTGCTCCGTGTCCGCTTCTCTGGAGCAGCAGAAAACAACCTTTCTCCCTCCTCTATATGACATCCTTTTATATATTTGAACATGGCTATCATATCACCCCTTAACCTCCTCTTCTCCAGGCTAAACATGCCCAGCTCCCTTAGCCGTTCCTCATAAGGCATCGTTTCCAGGCCTTGGACCATTTTGGTTGCCCTCCTCTGGACACGTTCCAGTTTGTCAGTGTCCTTCTTGAACTGTGGTGCCCAGAACTGGACACAGTACTCCAGGTGAGGTCTGACCAGAGCAGAATACAGTGGCACTATTACTTCCCTTGATCTAGATGCTATACTCCTATTGATGCAGCCCAGAATTGCATTGGCTTTTTTAGCTGCCGCGTCACACTGTTGGCTCATGTCAAGTTTGTGGTCAACCAAGACTCCTAGATCCTTTTCACATGTACTGCTCTCAAGCCAGGTGTCCCCCATCTTGTATTTGTGCCTCTCATTTTTTTTGCCCAAGTGCAATACTTTACATTTCTCCCTGTTAAATTTCATCTTGTTTGTTTTGGCCCAGTTCTCTGATCTGTCAAGGTCGTTTTGAAGATTGTCTGGTGGTGCAGTGCCTCAGAAATCCCACCAGACGGCTGTAGCCTCTTTCTGATTGGCTACCAAGGCATCCAGTTGGGGGAGGGGGAGGGGGAGCAGCACTTTTGGAGGGAAAATAAAAGGAACCGTTTCTGAGGGAATGTCCATGGGCAAAGCCAGAATGTACGTGGGGGGGGCAGTGTTACCTCAGTTTGTATTGATTTAATTTATTTATTTGAAGGGGGGCAGCTGTCCCTCTCTGCCACACACACACACACACACACACACACACACACACACACGGCTGCGCTCATGCCAGATAGATATAGATAGCGACAGGGAGGTGGTTTAAGAGAAACCGTGAGGTAGAGTTAGGGAAAGTGTGTTTCGCATCCACCCTGAGGGAAATATCTACAGCTAGAGAAAGGAGTCTCTAGACTGAGTGTCTAGGGAGAGCATTCAGACAGGAGTGAAGTGGAGGAGCTGAGTTCGAGTCAGGAGGGGAGAGATCTTCTAGAAAGAGAAGACTCCCAAAGCAGTGAAGGGATGGTGTGGGGAGATCCCCTGGCTCCGCAGCACTATTTGGAGTACCTCAGTGAAGGAGGTGAGGGCAGGTGACCCCACCTAGGCCTGAAGTCACCCCCCCCCCCAAAGCAGGCTCAAAGCTCAATGCTTCTCAAAGCTTTTCCAAAATCATTTTCTCAGCAGCTAAAAGGCATTAGCTAAGCATCAGAAACATTTCGCTCTGCTGGAACCAAGGTCGCTTCTCAGGCTAGCTGACCTTGCCAAAAGGTACATTCAACTTGCCACTTTTCCTTCCGGGAACTGTGCCAATAGAGCAAGAGAAAAGAAACATATCTTGGACACGATGGAACTCAAGGCTTCTCTTTTTTTTTAATTAAAATTTTTATTAAATTTTCTTTTACAAATTAATCAACACAATCCTGTTCTCAAATTTCCAATTTTTGTACTTCCACCAGCTCCTCCGCCAATCATCCATATTTTCTATTCATAACGCATTTTCCATTTCTTATATTGCCAGTTAGTACTAACTTATCGTCTCAGTTTTTTGTTTTTTTTTGCAATACATCTTTAACAGTCACAAAGCCTCTTTAAAACCGACAAACGTTGTCTGTACATCACATATATTTTTCAGATAATCCGTAAACTTTCCCCAGTCCTCGATGAATTTGTGATCCTTCTGATATCTAATTTTCCCAGTCATTTTATCCAGTTCTGCGTAATCCATAAGTTTCATTCTCCACTCTTCAAGTGTCGGTAGTTCCTCTTGTTTCCATTTTTGGGCCATTAATATTCTTGCCGCTGTTACTGCATATTGAAAGAGTTTATAGACTATAAACTAGGAACTCAAGGCTTCTCATCCCTCTTTCCTGGGAAGAGTCCAAAAGAGTCCCAAGACAGGAGCTTTCTGTTCATGCTCAGGGGAACTCATGGGGCAGGACTCTTGAAGAGGAGGAGAAAGGGGAGGGAACTGGAAGGGGAATATATGCTCTGGGCAAATGACTTTGAAGCCGTGCTTGTTTTGTGAATCTTGCTCCTTCTGCCACCCCGGATGGCAGAATAAAGCTTTTTCTCCGAAACTATTCCTTGCGTGTCTGTTGACTCCCATTTCCCCGTCCCGGGCGCAAAGCTCTTCTCACCCGAGGCTAAAAAGGCTACATCAGGAAGTGTGAATGTCAAAAGGCTGTCTAAGAAACCAAAGTATGAAACTGTAACACCTATGCAACAACTGAGGGAACTGAAGTCAAGTGTCATAACCACCCTGAGACGTGAGGGTGTAGGGCGGTATATAAATTCAATAAATAATAATAGGAATAAAATAACTGGAAATAAGCTGAGCTTTTTACCATCTAATCTAGAAGCCTGTAGCATCTACCTGAAACGTAATAACGGAACATGAGCAACTGAAGTTTAAAAGAAGCTGTGCTTGATGGGAGGCCTGTCATATCCATTCAATTTAGTAAAATTATGAATAGGCTGTTTCCTGAAAGAACATTATCTCCTAAAATATTCCTTGTTTTAGCCACTGTGCTCTGTCAAATAAACCTTTCTTACTTGTTCAACTTCTGTTTGAGTCTCCAAGCATCTGATTTTTACCTCACACAAGAATCCAAAGGCGTAGCCAGGATTTTTCTTGGGAGGGGCAGGCTTTTGTTAGGGGGGGGACCTCAGATTTGTATTGATTTTGATTGATTTAGGGGGCAGCTGCCCCCCCCCGGCTATGCCCATGCAAGAACCAAAAGATAACCTATGGTGGTTGAAAATCTATATAATAGAGTGTTGTACGTAGCTTGAATCCGCTGTAATGCGTAGACAGAGGTGCTAGGCAAATTATTTATTTGCCAGGTCTTTTTCTTTCTTTGAAATAATTTTTATTTGGTTTTACAAATACAGTACTGTATAGAATTATAACAATACAAAATACACATCCATATTTAGAGATTTTTCTGAATCTATGGACTTCCCGCCTTCCCCTCCATGGGTCCTCTTGTCAACCTTTTCAACTGCGTATTATTTCATAATCCATATTTTATGTCTCTCCATTTTGTCCATAATATTTGCTACATTGCAAGTGTTATTGCAATCCTGTTAATGTTTGCTTACAGTGGTCTCCTAGATAAATTATAACCCCCCCACCCCCCCATTCTTTATTGAAGTTTTGGTCTTCTTGATTCCTGAGCTTTCCAATCAGTTTTGTCATTTAGGCATGATCCAACAGCTTAGTTTGCCATTCCTCTCTGGGAGGGACTTTGTCTTCTTTCCATCTCTGGGCTAGTAACATTTGTGTGGCTGCCAGGCCTTTTAATATACCACTAAAGCTGTCTTTAACTGATTGTGCCCAGGGACCCCACTCACTTTATTATTCTTTTGTTCTGTGTCTCTTGAGTTTTCAAACCGTGTGTGCATTGTTTTGTATGAATTTGTGAGCTGCCCTTGGAGTTTTTCACTGAAGGGCAGCATAAATAACATCTTGTACTTGTGGCCATGAACATTACGCTGGTGTCCATGACTATCCCAAAGGCTCAGGAAAACATTCAGTCAGGAACAAAATGTTCATATACCAGCTTTTGTGGGAACGGATTAGCAAACGCACAGAAGAATGATCTGTATGGGGAAGGCTAAGGACTGAGAAATTATACACAAAGAGACACTAGTTGTGGTGAATTGTAAACAGTGAAGCCAGAAGGAAAGGAAATGTCAAAAAGTTTGGACAATGATTGTAATAAACGAAAATCTGCCTTTATTCCCTTATAGGGGACACAAGAGCCCTTATAGACTCCTTTGTAGGTTCTCCATCGGTCAGAGAAAAGAACAGAGACCAACCAGAGAATATTGAGAAGCAAAGTAGCTCATAAGCCTGATCTTTATTGAACTGTTGCAACAGGGTGCTCCCCTCACAAGCTGGAAAGGAGGAGGACCCAGAACCAAGGTGTGCCCACCCTTATATAGACATTTTAAAATCTTTTGGAGAAGCTAAGTAGATAAAAGGTAAAGGGTAAAGGGACCCCTGACCATTAGGTCCAGTCGTGACCGACTCTGGGGTTGCGGCGTTCATCTCACTTTAGTGGCCGAGGGAGCCGGCGTTTGTCCGCAGACAGCTTCCGGGTCATGTGGCCAGCATGACTAAGCCGCTTCTGGCGAACCAGAGCAGCACACGGAAACGCCGTTTACCTTCCCGCCGGAGCGGTACCTATTTATCTACTTGCACTTTGACGTGCTTTCAAACTGCTAGGTAGGCAGGAGCAGGGACCGGGCAACAGGAGCTCACCCCGTCACGGGGATTCGAACCGCCGACCTTCTGATCAGCAAGTCCTAGGCTCTGTGGTTTAACCCACAGCGCCACCCGCGTCCTGCTAAGTAGATAACTGATATGTAAATAACTTTCTTGGCACTGTCAAAACCAGACTTTAATCTACCATTGTTTAATCTACTCATTGTTTTCTGAAATTGTTCCCTAAGCAGCGGTGGAGTCTGGCACACCACATCTGAGGAGTGTGAGCAGCAACATTGCCATGACTCTCCTCTCTCCATCCCCAGGTCAGGCTTGAGTGCAGTGGAGCTGTGGCTGGCAGTGTTTGGTTGATTCAGGCTCCGGTGAGGGAGGCTGTCGTGGGGGCACCTGGTCGCACCCCCTCAAAAAAATGTTCCCAGGGCATGGCTCCCTCAGCCCCCCCCCCCTGCCCTAAGACATAAGAAGAGTCTTCTGGATTAGACCAAGAACTCATCTAATCCAGCACTCTGTTCTCACAGTGGTCAATTAGATGTCTGTGGGAAACCAGCAAGCAAAACCTGAGTGCACCAGTGCCTTCCTCACCTGTGATTTCCAGCAACTGCGGGAGGCAGCGGAAGACAGGAGTGCCTGGCGTGCTCTGGTCCATGGGGTCACAAAGAGTCGGACACGACTAAATGACTAAACAACAACAGCATTCAGAGACATACTGTCTGTCACAGTCGAGGGAGAACAGAGCTACTGTGGCTAGGAGCTGTTGATAGCCATATCATCCATGAATTTACCCAATCCTTTTTTAAAGCTACCTAGGTTGCTGGCCATTACCGTGGGGCAGTTATGGAGTGCAATGATGGCTGTGTGAAGAAATACTTCCTTTTGTCTGTCCTGAATCTGCCGACATTCAGCATCACTGGATGACCCCAAGTGAAAGAAAAGGGCTCTCTGTATTCACTTTCTCTACATATTCTTCTCCCTCCTTCTAACAAGATTTGTTAGAACGAGCTTCATAGAAAGAATGCAGTGGAACGAGCTGGGTGGTAGAGTACTTCTGCAGTGGCAGAATTATGTGGGAAATTGCAGTCAAGCATAGCTGCATGACAAGTGGTTAATATATGAAGGGGCTAAGACCACGGAGTTCTTTCCCTTGTCTTAAGTGGGTCACACCCCCTTTTCTTCATAAGGAAGTGGAGCTTCTTCCTCTTCTTCTCTTTCTCCATGTAATTGACAAAGGAAGACATGTCCAAGCTTAGAGCGCATGTTTGAAATCATCTTTCTGTATTTTCTCCCCAAAGGTATTCTGCCTGTGTTCTCTTTGCTGCTGCTTGGATAAATGCATGAATCTGACCTTTGAATTT